TGTTACGTTCTCTCAAAGCCAGTGTTTCAGATGATTTTCGCAGAGAACAACTTTTGGGGCCGATCAATTGCTGCCATTTCGGCATCAAGCGACCCGGATTCCTACGGCGGCTTTGGACCTTTTGTACCACTCTTCGAACGAATTCCCTACAATGATTTGAAAGCGCTCGAAGTAAGTGGGCAAAGTTTTTTGAGAAGATTTGATATGAGGAATACCTAACCCCAACTCTTTGATTGCTACTGCTGTTTACCTAAACACGAAAAAACAACAGTCAGTTTCCTAATCTACCGCTTTGCTTTGAGCACGCGATGGGTTTGGGAAAGCATAACTGTTCGATAATGACTTTGTAAAAAATAAATGCAATAATTTTAGAAAGCCATATCAGATCCGAACACAGCCGGTTTTATGGTGGAACCGATCCAAGGAGAAGCTGGCGTCATAGTACCAGATGCCGGATACTTAAAGGTTAATAGCGACCTTAACGACTACTACTTTTTATTGAGTGATCTCTGGTTGTACCGTGCTCATATCCTTCCTGTTTTTAGGGTGTACAAGATCTCTGTAAGAAGCATAATGTACTCTTCATCACTGACGAAATACAGTCCGGTCTCGGAAGGACGGGAGAGTACGTGACCTTCGTTCACATTACTCTCACAGTAATAGCCTCTGAAAGGAAATTCAAGACATTCAGCAAGTAGTAAATAGTGGTTCAGCAATGAAGAGATCAAGCACGCTGACTGTGAACTAACGCTGATCACAATCTGATTCAGAAGACAAACTGTGCACTACCCTCCGGGAACCCTGGCCTTTGCCATGTGCGAGATGAATGAGTTCTCTGCTGCAGTAACGTGCGACCTTCTCCGCTTAAAATGCACGAGAACGGGGCAGGAGAATGGTGATACGCGGGTGCCGTTTGTATATTCTGCCCGCGCCGCCTCTCGCCCCATTAAACGCCTAACCATAGCCAAACGCGCTATTTGTCTGCTCTCGCTAACTCTAGATGTTCTCCGCCTTTGACTGCGTGTTCGCCGCGGGATTTCGGTATTGATACCAGTGCTGAAGTCTGAGGAATGCACAGGCGGGGACAACAGAGTATCATAACCCCTCAGCCTTATTTCCGCACGCTCTCAGATGGGTACTTTTGTACTTGTATGGCTGCCAAAATTTTATTCTCGCACATGGGAAGAACCCTCCCCACAGGTTAGTGCTTAATTTGCCGCAGCGAAGCTAACTCAATCAGTTTTGACTGAAAAGGCTACAACAAAGTACTCCAAATGGACTCTTTACCAATCAAGGGAGCTTTTAACAGTTTTGAAGGCTCTTCTCACATGCAGCGTTGTAATTACTATAAAATTTAAAAAGGAGCTAGCATAAACTTTTTCCTTTTGCTCCATCTGAGATAAGAGCTTTTTAATTGTTTTTAATTGGTGATTTTGAATGAGTTACTGAGCTGAATTACATGAATACAGGCTGATGGCTCACTACCATGACGGTGTTCGCCCAGACATTGTGGTTCTTGGAAAGGCTCTCTCCGGTGGTGTGTATCCAGTAAGTTTCGGTTATCTTATTGTTAGAATATGTCACGAGTTCTACGGGCGGCACTACGGTAGGAAATGTCATAAGGTGTAAATTGTGGACTCAGTTGCACCAAGAGCGTACACCATGTGGGGTTTATCTCCTATTTCACCCTGGATTCCAACCGAACATGCAGGATTTTCTGTCCATTTACTCCTCACTAAAATTCAATCCTGATAGATTTTCGAAAACTACTCTTTGAGGCTGTTCTGACTCCCTGAACGAGAATTTAGCATTCCCTCGGAGTGAAAGCCTCCGGCGGTCGCAACAGATGTACAGCGTCTGCGCCCGTGGCACACGCAGCAACTGTGTTCGCGCTAAGCACGTGTGACATTTGTGCCTGGGGAGTCACAAGTTTGCAGCACCCTTGGCTCTCTTGAATGTCTTGGTGAAGGCGCTGTTCGGTATGGTGACAGGTGGATGTGATATTCGAGGTGACGGTCAGACTAAGGCTGCAAGAGAACCGTAATTTGCCGCTCCGCCGCGCGCGGCGATGGGCGCGGCGTTTTCTTATTCGTGTTAGCCTGTCGATTGGAGCACCGGTTTCACGTCAGTTACGTCAGTTACGAAACTGTTGACATTTATGACTATTTTCGGTTCTATATTGCCTGTTGTCGCCATCTACGACCTGGAACCATCGTCATTTGCGGCGCGACGTCGCACGCGACGCCCATCAACGCGGCGAATCACGATTCTCTTGACACGTACCTGGTCAAACTACCCTGGAGGCTAAGCCTACAATCATCGCTACTCCAAAAAAATTTCATTCAAATTTCGGTCCTATTTCGAAGAGTAGGACGGTATATTTTGTGAGTGACCTCGTTTTAGGCGGGCAAGCACATCTAGATTTTCTTCGCATTTCGATCTCACTCCGCCTAAAATCACTCTGTCCTGTACTTCTACCACTGGTCGCCAGCGGAGGGTTTTTGGGAAGTGGTCAAAACGGGAGCACAGGCCATATTGCGATGCACCTGATAACTGATTCTAAAGCCCGCAGTCAAAGTGGTGATATTAAATGCTGCATTATTCGCTCATCAGACACCGTTAATAAGTAGCTAGTGGCTCCTGAGACAAGTTTCGATTAAGGCATCTGCGGTTCTTTGTGACGACCATATCATGCTGAATATCAAACCAGGACAACACGGCTCCACATACGGAGGAAACCCAGGTGGCTTGTCGAGCAGCTATTGAAGCCCTCAAGGTGCGTCCATATCCTCCTTACTTTCTGTCCTCTTCGCTTTAGTTTGACTGAAAAGAGAAGTTTCTACTCGTTTCAGGTGATTGACGATGAGGGACTTGTTGAGAACTCGGCAAAGAATGGGCGAATTGTTCATGTCGAAGCTGCGGACGCTCCCAAAGGAGATCGTGAAAACTGTTCGTGGACGGGGATTGTTCATTGCGATCGTTATTAGCGAAAGTAAATTCTTAATGCGCCTCGTCAAAAGAATCGAGAGTTTAGTGTAACTACCAAGCATTCCAGAATATGATGCCTGGACGGTATGCAACCGATTGCTGGCCAACGGAGTCTTGTCAAAGAACACCCATGGGGATGTCATACGGTTCTCACCCCACCGCTTTGTATCAACAAGGGACAAGTCAGTTATAACGCCCAACACTAAGTTCGATCAGCTTGTACTAACTGCCTGGTTTCAGATCGAAGAAGTTTTCGATATCATTTCGAAGACAATTCAACAAGTCGCCGCTGAGCACAAGTAGATCTCTCGCTCTTCGCATTCAAATCTGATCCAAATCGACATACAAAGTGATATTTGTTAAGGAATTTTCACTTAAAACTACTTTCTTAAACTCTAATCTTTCCGTTACATATCCAGATTCCGCCCATCTATCAGGGAATCGAAACAGTGCTCCATTCATTTAATACTCAATATTGCTTTTTACAATTGCCCGTCAACTTCTGTGATGATTAATTAGATTTTTCATGATAGGATTTGCCATATTTGTTTATTCCATTAAACGGTTCTATAATCACTTTGGTCGAGATTGATGGTTTTAATAAAAACGAGATTATGTATTGCTTTCTCGAAACCTGCAAAAAGGTTCTTGTATATTACCATGGCTCTTTTCCCATAGTCTTACTAGTCCTACACTACGAAGTTATAAGTGGTCAGGAGTCCTTTGGTAATTCAGCTTTCCCTAAAGTCCATATCAACTGCTAAGAATCTATTGCAGGCAGAGTTATCAGCACTATCGAGACGAGCACTGTATGAGAAATAATTTATTTGTTTTCATATTAGGTCGAGATTGATGGTTTTAATAAAAAACGGCGTTCAGACTTCGCGATGATGTGCAGCCCCTATGCAGCAGACGGGAATCGATCGGCGCTGGCTTCTTGTGTTTTCAGAGAGTATAGGTACTGCTTACACATCATCTAGTACCCTCCTATTCCTCTGTACTCTATCAAAACACTAGAGGCCAATGGCGATCGATACCTGACTGCCTGCTTAGGCGAGGAATACTCTCCTGTTTCCCCAACTCTCTCAGAACACAAGCGGCTTTTTTCAATTCAATTCAATCCTAATCCCGTCTGTGACTGCCCCGTTCAAGTCTATAGCACTGTCAGAAGCGCTGCGCAACTGCAGCGTGTCATCGCGATGTCTGAACGATGCGCGGCATTTTCGATGGCTTATATTGTAACGGTGATTCATTTCAAATTTTCACTTGATGAATTATTAAGGAGGATGTCTTTTTTCGAGAAGCATTGCCCGGGGGTTCCTGTACACAACACACACACACACACACACACACACACACACACACACACACACACACACACACACACACACACACACACACACACACACACACACACACACACACACACACACACACACACACACACACACACACACACACACACACACACACACACACACACACACACACACACACACACACACACACACACACCTTGAAAAACTGGAACTTAACGTGATGCTTTATCCTCCCTTTCTCTCCTCCACTATCCTTAATCTCGAACTTTTCTGGACGAAAGCGTACACTTCACATCCGAGTGATGGAAAGGGCGTGGCTGTCTACTCTACTTGAACGTGACCTAGGATATGGTTCATGGAATATTTCCATTTGAAGCCATCGTTATCTTATGTATCTTGTACGAGGCAAAGTTATGGTGCAACTGTTCTGATGCAGTATGTTGTCAGAAGCGCAGCTGCCTCCACGTTCAAATGAAGTATGCAGAAAAGGACTTCCTATCTCTGGGAGATGGACTGCAGTAGTAGTCTGAGCTGGCACTGAGTAACCAAGTGACCGGAGACTGCTGGCATACGTTGAATGACCCCATTCACCAGGGACGCGCTGTGCGAACATAAAGTTGCTTTCATTGTCAAAACTTGACCGTCAATTCTTATGTAAATTTTTACTTCTTTCATTTATTTTCTGAGCAAACAGTTGTATCAACGTGAAAAGGGATTTCCAAGGCATTTTATGAGCAGATGGGGGAAAATAGATTTCCAGCAACATGTCTCCATTTGTTTCTTGTCAATTTTACACATACTCTTAACCATTTTGCTACTGCCTATGACATCTGATATCAATCAATTTGAAGACGGTTCGTCACGCCATCGCTTGTAATAAATTCCTGCTGAATACACCCTCCCTCTCCTAAAAGTCTCGATACGAACGAAACTACTGCTGAGAAAATGCGAAAGGCCCGCAAAAAACATGACAGTAAAAAAGGCAGCTCGAGGTCCGGTAATCAAGGAGGATAGCCTGAAGAATACCCCAAAAAATGAAACGTATCCTTCTGTTCTATATAAGCACTAACTTCTGCTTGGTCGGTTTGTCCCAGGTCTGTATGATATGATATGTTTGCTTCGTCTCCGCAAAATGCTTCACGGGTTCGAGTTCGCTGGAGGCGAAAACGACCGCTAGGCAAACAGGCAAATCGGTGCGGAAGTATCAATCCAATGTTTTGATCGTGATATCGGCCTCCGCTATATAAGACAACCATTCGGTACACTCCGAGCCATTGCACGAGCTGCTGGCGTGGCAGCTGGACGTGTGCTCGTGCGGGGGCGCAGGCGTGGGGTGGCCGAGGGGCGGGGGGAGCACTGGGCGCCCCCCTTCTGCTTCCTCTCATTCCCCCGACCCTGCAGCGTCCGCGCCACGCACGGTGTCGAGCACCTTTAGCTGGAGTAGCATACGGTAAGATACTGTATGCCACCACCCAGCGCATATCCCGAGGCCCGCCTGCGGCATGACCGCGCTTAATTGCAGCGCTAACTGTTGACCTCTCACTGGCTACTCAACGTAACGAGATGAATCGATTCGAATCCGTTTGATAATCGGATTTGATAAGTTAAAATCAGTAATTTTCGTCAATTCTACCTGATATCAATGGGCTGTAGGACATAATGTTCGCATCGAAGAAAAAACGTGTTGAAATTTTTAAATGTTTCTGTTTTTAGGTGTTCATATACATCGAATGACCTTCCAAAGGCAAATAAATTCTTACATTAATTCTTTCTTCCATATTTAAGGTCACCTGAAAATATGTTTATAAAGCTCGATGAGCACCTCGTCATAACACACCGCGTGTTTGTCGTTACGAGCATGCTTTCAGGCGCCTACTACACCGCTGCTCTGTTAATGACCTTTTCCATCAACTCATTCCGTCACCATCACTCGCGCCCAGTTCCCTACATGCATTCTGCGCTCTGTCCGCCGGCCCCAATCACTCTACCCCCACGCGATTAGCGTTTTCTAACATTGCTACTCGCCGCATGCATATATCTTTCACACAGTACCGTCCAAAACTTCTTCTTCTCTTCCCCTGGTGTTTCCCCCCTCCGAGTCCGCCTTGTTCTTGTTGACGTCACCAACTTTAGCTCCGATCCCTCGATCTGTATTTTATTTGTTTCGTTGTAAATCTATTGCCATTGTAAAGAAATTTCCTTCCTAACACTCAGCCTTGTGAATAAACAAATCGATTCATCTCGTTACGTGAGTAGCCAGTGAGAGGTCAGCAGTCAGCGCAGCCCAATTAACCCGAGCGAGTGCGCGGCAGCGCGCGGCCTACGGGATATTGCGTCTTTGGTGTGGCATACAGTGACTTACCGTATGCTACTCCAGCTAAAGTCCGCCACCCGGTGCTTCCTTCCCACTGGCGCTGCTCAGCACCGGATTGAGGCACGTGCGCAAGAGAAAGGAAGCATGAGGCGATGGTCCCGACTGGAAAGCTGGCGCGTTTTTTCAAGGCTAGATATAGGTTATCGGCCACATGGAATATGTGAGGCTCGTGACAAGAACGCGCTACCGCGAAAAGGAAGTAATGAATATTTGGGCACAGCATTCGCATGGCGGATTCTCGGATCGAGCCTGTACGACCCCCCCCTCTTTTTTTTTGGGGGGTTCGGTTACGAACCCCCCCCCCCCTTTTTTGCCGTTCGGTTTTTTCGCCTTAAATGAAACTATGAAACGCCCACTATGAAATTCTACTTGTATGAAGGTGCCCATACTAAATGGACGACTTGAAGTCATGACATAATAGAACAATACAGAGATGATTGCAAACAAAAAACGGTTAGCAAATCGTAGTTATGAGAAACTCTTATTGATGAACTTCTTCGATTGGCCGTTTGACAGCACGTATAATAACGATGTATCGCGATTAAATTCAATGAGCATTCGTTAACCTGAGGTGGACTCCCTCTCTGGGAGCGGCCATCAGCGACCACAGTGTTAACAACGTCTATTCCCAAGATTGAGGACGAGGAAAAGAGAAAGTTAGGCTTGTCTCACTACGTAACAGTTATACAAACAAATTCGTATAGCATACATTTTTTGTAAAATACTAATAAAGGATGAGAAATTATGAGGAGGCCGTCGAAAGCATACAGAGAGTAGCTCATGCTTCCGTTTCGCAGTGCCTTAGACGGAAGCCGAGCAAGAAGCCATATTCCTCCCTTCCGGTGAATAACAAACCAGCCCCGTAAAAAATGCCATTACCCTCGATATTCGAGTACCGGTAGCAGGAAAGCGCATGTTATGCAGCTGTAGCACGAGATTATTCGTCAAGTGTTACGCATGGGCGAGAATTTCCAGCTGATAGCAAAGTAGTCTTTTGAAGGACCGATGAACTTCCCAAAAGCGGACCTGCTGCGGGAAAGAGGAGACCGTAACTCGTGTAAGAGGAAGGTTTGCACTTCCTCACAAGAAGTCTAACGTTCATGCGTCGCCATAAATCAGCGAGGAAACCTGCCTATAGGGACTTCGTTGGGAAGTGCGGTTCACCGCAGGTTTTGAATCAATATATTTTTTTTGTAACTCAACATTTCACAAATCTGAGAATGGTTTCGAGTGTTTGAAGATTTTCTCTTTCTAAAACCTCTTGAACTGTTTCTGAAGCTCTCGGGATTCATGAGATCTCGCTATGGGGATTTCTTGAGGAACACTCCCAGCTGCGCGAAAAAACCCGTTTCCTGTGTACCGTTTCAAGTGAGCGTGTTCGAATAACCAGGAATGCATGAAAAACGTATCCTCTGGTGGAGCAGGAGCAGGATATGGTTCGTTTAGCGCCGATCACGCCAACTTTGGATGCGCCGCGCACTGAGGGCCGCGCAGAGGTGATGGGATGGTGCAACTTGTGCGTAATGTCTGTTCACGCGAGCAAATGTGTCTATAAGGTTCAGGAGTCAAAGGCCGAGCACTGCGCACTTGTTCTCACAGTGTTTTCGTGCGACGTATGGATGGAACATGCTCCCTGTCAACGCTGCGCATTCGCTTCGGCGCCAATCGCTGAGCTCAGACTAAAGGAGACCAACTGCCTGGAAAAGCGAGATCTGATATAGTAAACGACAGATATGGTAGTCCTGTCGCTTTCGAGTGCAAAAAAAACAGAGTATCAGCTCAGCGCAAGCGCGACCGCCGCGACTGACGCCATTATCATTAGCAAGCGACCAAGAAGGTTTGAGTTGTACTGTTTAGTCACCAAAGCGGACTGTACGACGCATAATGTCGACGTTACATTCAAATATTTGCAGTTATATTTCGGATTAGTTTGATGAATGAAAGTTTTGTACTATTTTTTTGCATATCCGAGTTCTCTACAAAGCAAGTTTCGTTGTACAGGACTCAGCACATTGACAATTTGCGCTGCTCGTTACTGGCTGCCGCACTCACTACGACCCCCCCTCTCCTGGCGGCCAAATACGACCCCCCTGTTGGGGATTCCCCAACCAACGATGTGCCCTGCTGGAAAGGAACATAACTCATAACGCTGTCACCAGCATCAGTTAGGCGTTGATTTTCAGGCAAATGGATATCAAGGGGGAAGGTGAGCAGAATGCCGACGACGCGCGTGGACAAGACCAATGATAACTAGCAGATAAGGCTTGAAAGAGAACGATGCAGTTGTTTCTAACCAGACGAAATTTATCGAGTTTAGTCTGATAGCGAATTGACGTACGAGGTGACAAGACAATTTTATTCAATTGATAAGTTAAAGGATAACGGGGGACATTTTGACGGACATCTTTCTGGTCGCACTACAAGCGCCAAAAAAAGAGCCTCTCAGTAAGGCTGCGTTTATACTTTGCGGCAGCGTAGCGTAGCGTAGCGCAGCGTAGCGTAGCGCTTCCAGCGTACGCCAGCGGCAGTGCCGAAGAGAGGATGCATATCGATCTAGCTTCACCAGAGATCTCGACCAGCGCACGCTTAGCGCACGCTGGCGTAGCGAGAGGACGGGGAAACATGGCTATTCGAATCTTACGCTTCACACAGCGGTTTTTCTCGAGCGTTTCTCCAGCGGCACCAGCGTTTTGCTAGCGCTTGCAGCGGCAGGGAGTAGAGACCATGTGGCCGTCGGAGACGCAGAAGCGATGTGCATTGTAGAGACTAAGGGCGAGTGAGAGACGCGCAATCGATGTGTTTTGTACCCTCCAGCTCTCCCATAGTCTCTCCCCCTGCCGCTGCAAACCGCTAGCAAAACGCTGGTGAAACGCTGGAGAAACGCTGGCGTACGCTAGCGTACGCCAGCGTGCCGCTGGTGACGCTGGTGAAGCTAGATCGATATGCATCCTCTCTTCGGCACTGCCGCTGGCGTACGCTGGAAGCGCTACGCTGCGCTACGCTACGCTACGCTGCCGCAAAGTATAAACGCAGCCTTAAGCGAAATTTTCCCACAGCCATCACTCCTCTGATTGACTAGAAAATGTACTCATCCCACTAGGGGGGGGGTGTTATACTTCGCCTGAAACAGGTAGTTTGGAGAAATCATAAACTCCAATATTGGAACACTTTTTATGCGTTCAGCTAAGTAATTTAACATATTTCTTTTTTCTTTTAAACATGTAAAATCATGAGTGCGGAGAAACGAATAACAAAAGTAGTCGTAAGATATTCAACGAACGTAGCCTGAAATATTGTTCATTCTGCAGACCATTCAGGTGGCAAGCTTAGCAGGTGGTTTGCATGTTAATGACAAGTTAATCGCCCATCGTTGGTGTTGCGATGCATGTAATAAAAACGGAATGTGTTCATCTACTGTGCAACATATATTGATATTCTGTACTTCCTATCTATTTCTGAGATCTACGTATAGAATGGGCGTTATGGCCGAAACCAGCACGCCTCTCCCGCAACCACATGATCGGGTTGCAGGATTCCGCATAGGTCTACACTCTGTCTATTATGATTCGACACTACTGCGGCAACTATGATCAGCTCATTACAATTTACACTAACTCCAATCCGTCCTATGACAGTGCGCCTGGCGCAGCCAGGCCAGTTCGGCCGAAACCAGGCCTAAAAAGAAGGAGGGAGACTCGGCCGTCAAGCCGTGGGCGATCCGACTGGTTGCAAATAAGGTATGAAACACCCTATTTTTCAAGGGACTTTCCTCGTTGTGAACTTTTTAGTTGTAATTTTTTTCTGCCAAGGAGGTTGGTAGGTGGAAGACTTTATTATAAATGGCCTGACGTTTTGACAGGATCATCATTCCCAGAGGCCTAAACATAGCTCAAGGTTCAAATGTTGCTTCCAGTAGACTGCCAAACGCCTCGACACCCTAGCGTTTTTGGCGAAATCCTAGGAGAACTACCAAGCGTCCTCGTTGTGATTCCCTTGTGACATTTTAGGGTCACCTACAAGTTTTCTTGCTTTGAATAGCCGAAATTTCCTTCATAGTGACATTTTGTGAAACAACTAACACTGCCGAAATTTTTCCACTTTTTGAGAAACCTACTATTTCGCCAATACTGCCGACCGAAAAATCCCCCGTTGTGATTTTGTTGTGGCATCTTTCGGGCGACACGAAAATCCACCTCTCCGACGCAATACCAGATTCAGTTCGTTTGAAGACTCGCCGCCAAAGTTCTATATAACTACTACTTCCGATAGTTGAAAATAGTAGTTGGTTGCTGACGACTTCCCCAACCCCCCCCCACGCTCGACGGAAAATTTTTAGGGAAGAAAGTAGCAAATTGGAGGGACATTTCGGAGAAAACTGGTAGGAAGCTGGGAACATGTAGGAAAGTGGGAGGTGGGTGCATAGAAGGGGGAGGGTGTAATGAGACCCCCTTTCAGAAGGGGAGTCGTTACGTCGCATCACGGGGGGAGGGTCGTAATGACACCACCTTTTCACACATCACGATGCTTTACCCTGTCAGAAAATAGTTCATTCGGCGCCAATTGGCATCACCTCTGTAATGCGCCATGCCCCACGCAAAGATGTTGAAAAGGTGGAACTACCTAGATAGTGCCTCCTGTGTGTAAGCAAATGTGCTCCTGTCAGAAACGTCCGAATGTGTACTTTTGTTTGTTTATTTTCATGAAGTCGTTTTGGGCGGCCCTCGTCTACTTGTCACAGCCGTTCCCCACTTCTGAGCTTGCAGGTTACTTCTTTCTTCAGGTGTCTCTTCAGGTGTTCTTCACATGAAGAGCAATCAATAAATTTTTCATCGTTCAGCTGTGCATCAGAGTCCCGCTGCTCTTCGCACTTCAGATCTGCTCTTGCGACCCCTTCCTCTCCTTCGCGATTAATTACAATCCCCCTTGTGAATATCACAACGATAGCTAGCGTGCTCTGGCGCATAAGTCCAGAGCACGCAATAAATTCAATTCTCGGATCAAACGGTTAATTATACAATCTCGGATGTCATTTGGAGAAACTAGCAACGAGAACGCGTAACAATACTCATTAAATTTTCCAATATCAATTAATTGGATAATGTATTTTATTAATTCGTAGATGGTGCTGATCCGAAACCACGTGCTTGATATTTTCTCTGAGGTTCACAGAGTGCTTTATCTGAAATTTACGCAGGACCAGGACTCGCTCCAAGGTTATATCGATGGGACAGCGTTGTTCCACCACTCGATACCACGGATCGGACACCTTGAAGTCAATTTTGACGCAAAAATCACCCTTTGCCAGGCTTTCAACGCGTGAACGTGTACAATGGGGCGTGACGGAAAAAACGAGACACGGTTATTTCCGGGGCAGGGGGAAAACTGGCGTCATAAATTGCCAGTCTTCCCTGGGACCCCATGGCCCCAACCTAAGCAAAACATGGAAGCTTCAGGCACATAGTAGGCTCATCTTGCTGTGTCGAAGAAACACACATCTGCCAACACTATTGGCTTACCGTAAGTGTTTTGGTGTATTCTTGATACGGCCCGATGCCAGCTTGAATCATAGTTGTGGACAGTGGACAAGTTGTGGCTGTGGCTTGTTGCTGGGTTACAATGGAGCCCATTTGGTAGACGGTGCACCGGCGAGGTAGCCAATCTTTGTTCCGCCTAGAAAAGTACCTTCTCTGGACCTGTCAGGAATCTATTCCTATTCGCAATGTTCCTTAGGCGTCTATTGGGCCCTCAATAAGATAAGGGAGAGTGTTGTCACTGAATTGGATGATTAGTGATAGACAATTGGAGATCTTCTTGGTAGTGAATAGTGACAGTGGTCTATGGGGCACTGCGGCTGTAAATTCTAAGGAGTCTTACTCCCGGATCTGGATCAGTGGCTTCGTAGATACTGTATAATAATAAGTGTAGAAGTTGATGAGCAGGAACCTACTTAGGGTCTTGGCCTACGAGTAACGCAGCTCACGATCATTTTGCGCATATTTGCAAGGCTTCAGTTGATGTACGTGACTGCCGCGTAAGAAGTTGCTGATTGTGGTACCACCTGAAAGAAGGTGTGTAGTTCTAGTCTACTTTCTGTTTTTTTTTCGAAGGGCGCAATGACCTGTTGGCGCAATCGGCGGATAGTACGTCCATCTGACTGGAGGGCTCACGGTGAATGTGAACGATGGATCCGTGATGAGCTCTGCATCGCGGCCGATGTTCGCTAAAGAAAAACAGTGAGCATATTATTTCCTTTTTGGCGTAATTAGTCATTCGGTTCCGTAGCACTCATATATTAGTTCGCCTTCGAGAAGATCTTGCCATAAACCGTTGCAACAGCCTTGAAGGCACTTTCCGCGATAAAATAAGGCTATGACCTCTTCAAATGTGTCAGACGATCCGGAAGGAGATTGCGGAGGCTGCGCTACCTTCAAAAAGTGAAAATCGGCAAGAACTCCGCTGAGAAGCTAACCAATTAGGCCCATGGGCGCCCCTTAGGCCCATGCCGACCCACTGCTGCTAGCTACTAGCTAGTAGCCACTATGCTATCTCTCTCCATTCCGAATGGTGAGAGTGAGGTGATAAGATAAAAGAGCTGATATCTTTATGATAACGACGAGTGGAAATTCGTACAAACATGCGTTTTCTTCATTGCATGCATGTACAAGTTGGGGTCGATATGGAATCCTATTTAGGGCATTTTCGGCTGTTTTTCTGCTGCTTTTCTCCGCTAATCAGATACCTAGCCCTTTTTCGTTCCTATGTGAGCTTCCGTTACCCGCAATCTGTGGTCGCGAGCTCTGCTTTAAGCTCTGTACATACCACACCTTGGTCACAGAGCTATATTTGCGCTAAACTGTCGAGTTCAGTGGTGTGGATTCGAAATTAAGGAAAATGAACACGTCATATTTTGACATCACTTTTTCGTGTATAGAGAGCAACAGCGTGAAAGAGGAGGTTTATTTCAAGTGCCACGAATTCAAATGAGTATTCAAACACGTTTCATCTCGTACAAGCTTCGCTACGTCTTAGTTTTTCCAGAAATCCGTTCAATAGATTAGTTAAAGGATGGAAAACAGAGCTGTGTCATTGACCAACTCCCCTCTGGTATGCGGCAATGCGGCATGCATTTCACTTTCATTCAGAATCAAATTGGCTCCTTCAATGCGACATTGACTACAACAATGTTTGCGAAAGGGGGAGGGAGGGGGGAAGGAAGGGGGG